ATGACGAAAGCAAAACATTTGTCTTGTCTTCTACTGGCGGATTGAACAATCGAAGACGATCCTTTGTATAGGGACCGAAAAGGGAAATTTGACTAATTTTCTTGGTTGGATGGATTGACGCCACCAGCTATGATTACTTCACTTATAGACAATTTGGAATGAAGTGGCATATAATCGCTAGTCATTTTAGCACACGGATGTCGGCTGTACAACATTAGAATACCCACTTTGTCCTCCTACTAATAGTAATTGGATAAGACATACATAGTTTGACAGAGCTGAAGTGGGAAATCACCTTCTTTTTCCACAGTACTGTTTTGGGGGATGAAGTTTGAGATGCAGTTTGAGCCTCTCGACGTATCTTTGCTAAGTGGGCACTTGAATACGCAAACGGCCGACTGGGGTGGCCATTGCGAGAATACGTTATGTGTCAGTCAAATTTTTTACTTTGATCCTCATACAGGAGCCACTTGCGATCCTCATAATTGGATCTTTTGTGTGTGGGTTGGCTAACAGCCCCATGTCCATCTCAACTTTAAATTGTACGGCCGCATTGACTATGATTTTAGATCCTCGCTTGAATTTGTAGACACCTAAGCGCACTTTGTAGGCAATCATCTAAATTTGATAGCGGAAATTATCATGCCAAGCATTAAGAATGGAGAGCGTTGCCATATTTTCTTTAAGGAACATCAAAAAGGCATAAGTGTCGATGCTGTATTTGTGTTTGCCAAAGTAAAACGGCTGAAATACAGTCGCAAATGTTTTGTATTCGTACAATCGCGTGATACTCTTGTAGTACTTTGATTGTCCCATTGCTTGCATGAGGGTGGTAGCTTTGGAGACCATCTTGCTTCTACCCACGGTATTGCCTTCCGGCCAGAACAGAGCCTTTCCTTTACCCGTTCTGTCTAAAGCAAAAGTGTTTAGCTGTGCTGTGCCGCCTACTGTCAAATTGGGAGCCTCGGGATGCTACAACCAGTACAAAAGTAAATGTGTATGCATTACATGTCCAGTGTGGTTTAGCATTGGAACTGATCAGACGCTCTTTGCGCAAAGGAACAGCTTCAATGCGTGGTGATCCTCTCAAGACTAATTACTTGTAAAGCTGAAGGAAAGAAGAGTGCACGAATAAGAGCAATTTTTTTTCACAAACAAGAGATTTTTGCAAAACAATACCCGACATTTGTATGCTTTTATGTGAAGGCGAAATTTTTTCCCCAAATACACATTATAATCTTGCTTTGCAACAAATTTTTTCGACACAAAGAGGCCTGCACAAAAGATTCACATAGACAAAAAAAAATTAAAACGCTATTATTTTTGCCCAACTATTTATGTGCCTAGCAGGGAAATTTTGTGTGCGAGCTCGGACAACTTGAAAGAAAATATTTTACCTGCTGAATTAAATGCTTGTATTAACAGTTCTTTATTTGGCTAAGTTCTTTGAACCCTGAAATTGATGCCGCAGTGGGTGTTTTGCAATGCGACCGTCCTTACAGAGTTGGTCGTCTTTTTACGTGATCCTCCACCCACTTTAATCGCTCTGCCCTCAACTACACTGTCAAAAAAAATTTTTACAATTTGCCACTATTGTATTTGGGTGTTTACATTTTTTTAAATGTAAAATGTTTTGGCGTATTCTTTTAAATTAGAATTATTTTAAATACATTATTAAGTTAGTATAATTTCGTACGAATTTTTTACTGGGGCTGCAATCGTACTTTCCCACTGCGATATGAAAATATCTTGCGTGCAATTATTTGTTTTTTTTTGTTTTTTCTGGATCAGTCGATATCACTTAGGATTTTCCATGGACACCGTTCTGCTTTGCAAGGAGTCAGCTGATGCAGAGGCGCCCTTTAAATGCGGAAGAATTTGAAGTGGACGAGCGGTCGTCAAAGTTGCATTGTCGGTGGATCCTTTTAGTGAGCATTTCCGACTTTGACCGACTGTGCGGGCGCATGCATTGCCCTCGTAACTTTCGGATTAGCGGAAAGACACCATTTACCTCGAGAGGTTCTGTAAAAATTGTCCGTTTAAGGAGGTGAGACATGAGATTAACCACTTACTTATCGTAGCAAATAGTTTCAGGAAGCAGATGGATAATTTGGGACCGGTAAAATTGCAACATTTTGATATGTGCATAGAGACAAAAAGCGCAGATGAACTCATGCGTAATTTCGTCGTAAAAATCATGGCACATTGTCAAAATGGGGCTTGTTTGTGTGAGATTTAACTTCGAGCACCCACAGTGCCACACTGATCCACTGTGTAGTCTTGAATATAACTAGGAAGACTAGCGTAAAGATGGCAAAGACAACTATCTAACTACCTAATACACAATTACTGTGTAAGTTCTGAAGGTATGTTCAGCTTTTATTTACTCAGTAACGATTGTACTTTTCTCATTCTCCCAGTGAATGAGGCCTTCTGGATGAGCGCAGTCCTCCGGAAAAATAGCCGAAGTCGGCCGAGATTTGGGCACATTGGATCTTTTAGTCCCACGCTTATGCATGCCTGTATTATTCGGTGCATTGCTAGCCTTTTTATGTTTTTTTCCATTTTTAGATATTTGGTTAATGAGCACAAGCACGTTTTTTGCGCTTTACCTCCAAACAATGCTATTATCATGTCTCAAGGAAAATTTATCCCTTATTGTTCCATGCTTGAGCAATCTCATTCTTGTGTCATCGCCTTATAAAAGTGCAAAATTTTGCCCATTGATGCACGCGCTTGTGTCCGTGAGCGTGTCCAACAGGACTGTACTCATGCTTGCCACTTTTTACTTTCTTAATCCGCAAAAATGAGTGCTTATTAAAGAAACAAGAAAGGGTGTGCATAGTTAACTTTAGGATGGTTTATTACGGTATGTCGAGGACTGTTTTGCTCTCGATTTTGATCTTTTCATCCTGTGATTACGCCTTTTTGCACTGACGAGTTCGTTGGTTCTCACCGAGCCGCTCCGCGATTTTCCACATGCATGTGCTTGCGAGGAAATTGTATGTGAAACTGCTAGTGTGAATGCACAAACATGCATGTATTCGCGAAACCAAAATTATGCGCCCGGTATTTCTAGGCGCCCTCATACCCATGATGACATGTCATCTTCCAAAAGTGTAGCTTTTTGTCTGTGTGAGGGAGAATTGGCGTCATTTGGGCCTTCAAGTAGGTGTGTACTGTTTGCTATTGCGAATCACTACGTGTTTCACATTCCTCGGGTCTTCCCTCAGCTCGTGTCCAAAATTTCAATTTAATTTTACCAAACGGATTCGCATACGCACACACACACACACCCCTAATTTGGAATTCGGGTGTGTATTTTGTTAATGAGTAGTGCACTGCACAAAAAAAATACGTGCAGTAGTGAAGGCTTGTGTATGCACGTAGTCGCTTGTAAATAACTTGATTAGGGATTCCATTAAGGTCCCTCTTCTTTCATTTCACCCACTTTTCAATTACACGCTCACACGTTTCTATGCGTGGTTGTAAGACGTGCATACGAGCATCGCAACCTTGTATAGAAATGTTTTTTTTTGCAGCAAAAGGTACACATAAGTGCGTGTGTTTGTTCAATGTAAGGCCTATATTACTGCATTGAGATGCTTAAATTTCAGTTGAGGTGTTATTTTGTCAGTAGATGTAGTTGTTAAAAATATTTCTTACTAGAAAAGGGATGTTTCTTCTGTATAACCGCTCATTTTCGATTCCGGTCTGGTGTGTGTGTGTGTGTGTGCGGTTATGCATTTTTCGACCCAATTTCAAAAACATGTGCCACCTTGCTTGTGGCAGGGGCACGACCAAGGCTTTCACAGTTATACCGATGGAACAGCTCAAGATTTGACATTGATGGAATGCATTCGCCAGCCCGAGTCTTTTGCTTTTGCTTTTTCTCGGTTAAATAAAGTCGCTTTACGTGTTATGCCTGAATGCGACGGTTGAGATGGAGATGCGCATCGAAATGGAGACACTGTGACGATCCTAGGTGAGGGTGAGAAGTGGATCCTAACCCTTCATTTTGCCTTTTCACAGGTTCAGCATGAAATCTATTAAGAGGCGGGACCGTGTATGGTGAAAACAAAACGGATGGGCGACGCAAATGACTTGTTATCCTTCCCGCATGAAGCGCCAATTTATTCAAAGCTTTGGTACCCAAATGGGGCCAGAAGAAAATGGCATTCAATCATTGCACTTAAGAAAGTGATAATGAGACGCGATTATAGGCGCGCTCTCATGGAATCTTCAGAATAGTATGTTTACCATCGACTGGTTACGGTGTCAGTCTCCGTAAGGAGTGTGACCGCAAATTTCGTAAATTTATCATGTAGGTTTAGGAGCCTTGCAGGTACTGGTGGTCCCAGAGGTTTGACTAGCAAGATTGGATCATGGGAATTTTCTTAACTTAGCGTTCCTATTGGGATGGCTGACTTTTAGATGCTTCAAGAAGGAAAGTGCTTAGAAGAGGTGGGCTGTGTCATGGGCCAGCGGCAAAGGTGTCCAAATTTGCGGATGAAGAGGACGTTAATCCAAGCTGGTTTGGCATTTGCTTTCGTGGGGTTGTCAGTTCCCATTCCCTGTCAAAAATGGGCCAGTGCGCATGATTTATATGAAGAACGGATCTCGACACTTGCATTCGGGTGGGAGAAGAATATTTGCGTAGACGGGGAAAAAACCATACAGATACGTGTGTCACAATTGCATTATAATTGCTTCCCAAGTTGTTCAAAGAGGTGTGTAAAAAGACCGTCTTTTTTGACAAAAACACGTACAAAAATAATTGCTGAAGTGGATGTGCTAGCAGGATGCTCCCCATCTCATTTCCAAAAGGTATTCAGAATGGCACATTTAAACTTTACTAGCAGGAATATAAGATTGTGATTTTTAACTTTAAATATAATTTTTTTTTAGGTTTCCACAGCACATGTACAATCAACCTTTTGTTTAGCGTGAGTGCATCAGTATCACTTGGAGTCTGCCTTGAAACAATATTTTATCCAAAAATGACCTACCTGCGTGTGTTCTACAGCTCAGCCGTAGGAGAGATCGAATTGGAGGATGTAGGCTGGAGTGAGGTTGGCGAAGTTGCAATTCACAGTCCAACTTTGTCGCTGTGTGGCAGATGCTATCAGCGACCCTTTTTGCCTCGAATTGGTCCGTGTGGTCATATCTACTGTCTCGTCTGCATTTGGGTTCGCATTGCCTTCAATCACGATGAGCGTGTTGAAACCTGTCCCACCTGCGGCAGATCTCTTAAAGTAACCGACCTCAAGAGGTACGACAAAGAATTGGTTAATTTGCTTGTCCAATTTTAGAGTCAGCATTTTCAAGTCGTACATTCCGAAAGTTGGCGATGTCATGAAATTCCGCTTATTGCCAAAGGACACCAAATGCGTGAATTCGTACGTTTTGGACATTTGGACTGCGAAATATTGTGCGCATTTGGTGAAGACAAAGAGAAGATCTTATCGGTATTTTATTCGAAAAGATATCGCACTTATGAAAAAGTACATGTCAAAATGGAAGGATGCGAAGAATAGCACGATCACTCGTATGGTGGCAGGGGAAATTTTCGCCAGTCTTCTGCAAGAGCAGGAACGCCTTAACTACGGAGCCGAAAGCATCGGCCCATTTACCAAAAGATATATCCTCCGTACGACCAATATGATTAACTAATTTTTATTTTAGATCTGCACTCCTACACTGTGTTCCTCCACGCCTTTAATCGTGCGTGCCTCAGTCTAGCATTCAAGAAGATCGGGCTGCCCAAAATGGTTTCTGGAAAAGTAATTTTTATTGAATGTCATACGATGGATTTGGTGAGTAGAGATGTCGTCACCGGAGTCCACGCACTGCTGCGCTCGCTGAATGTTTTATTTTACTTTTTACTAGAATATCCGTGAAATGATTCCAGACCTACGTCACGTACCCCTTGGACACACCTTCTATTTAGTATTGTTGGAGTTTGAGGCGTCAACCTTTAGTGATTTCCATGATTTGCAACCTATTTTTGGGGGGATGCTCCTCGACTTTGTTCGTCCAAGCTTCAACCTCAAGGTGGCCGTAGGGTCAATTATCAACAGTTTTGTGTGTAAGATATTTTTTGACTAATATTCTCGTAATTTCCTTCAATTACTTTCTTCTCACCTTGTCATTTTAGCTCTAAACATGAGACACACTTGCGTTTACTTCGTGGACGAGTTATTCTCCATCACTCCTGCGGAGCACCGATCGTTTTATAAGGACCATGACGGTGATATTAAAAATTTGGAGGAATCTAATAATTGGCGGAGTATTGTGAGTTGCTCTCCTTACCTTTCCATGCTTTTTGCAGTTTTGTCGCCTCTTGAACTGTTTGGCTTTCAGCCGTTCAATAAACTCACCTTCATCAGTGAGCTGTTTCAAAAAACTTACACCGGTAATGTTTAATAAGCATGCGCTCAAGTTGTGTTACTTTTAGTTAAATATGCGTTAATCTGCAAAAAAATTTCCCAACTCCTAATTTTTTGTTACTAGACTCTGCCCTCTGGTTCGAAGGCCTTTTTCGCAGATTCGTTGTTGCGAAGGTACCTTCAAGAGGGTCTGTCTGACAGCCTCTGAAACGGCATCTGACTTATCCCCGTTGATGGGACACTTCGACGACACTCTTCACTTATCGCACTGCACTCATTGGAGTTTGATAAATAGTTACGCTAGCAGTCAGTGACAGCTTTGCCTACCAGTAGGGAGTATATTCTTTCAAATTTCACAAAAGCAATTTTCCTCAAATTTCATAATTGCCTCTTACTTAATTCATACAATTGCATGGAGGAGAGAAGTGGAACAATGAAATTATTCATCAAAACCCTTCTCATCGTCCTTACATGCAGTAATTTTACTATGTAATCATGAAAGCATAATTGAACTGCATTCTCTTTGAGTTTTTTGCTCTTTTTTTTGCTCTCAAATGCCTCCGTAATCACTTCCATTTTCATATAATTCCTCAAATAAAATTTTTTATACTTCATTTGGAATATGAAGCGATTCAGTGGGTTCCTTTTATTTTGCATGCCAGTTCGATTGTTGAATTGTGGATGGACTGTAGTAGATAAGGTGAGAATAAGTGTGTAGCATTTTCTTCATGGGTTATAGCTAGCAAGCTGAGGCAGTTGGGTTGACAGCCATCTTCTTTGTCTCCGGCTTTCAGTGTTGGGTAATAAAAGTTACTCGATCGAGTAGAAGTTGGTCGCAAGAACAGTAAAGAGGTGATGTCAAGTACTTGGTTTGCTGTCTGATCACAGTCGAATCTACCGATTTTACTTTGAAAATGCAACTTTAGTGGCCCTCCTCGTGGTTAATGAAAATGACTGGTAGTTGCGTTTAAGGGGCCCTTCAACGCCAATATTGCTATGAGAACATTGGCGGACTCGATATTTTAACTGCCCTTAGAGTTAGTAACGGTGATTTGAGGTTTGCACTGTTGCCACTTTAAACGTAGTTTGAGCTGTCAGGTGGACACGTGGTACGTGGCTGCGGGACAGAGGTCAAATGGCGTTCAGCCGTGGAATGATCGCGATTATCAAGGAAGAGACTAACTTCATAAAATAGTACAACCATCTCCCTCTTTACGCATCACATGACCTTTCAATGAACCGGTCGTATTAGCTAGGGTCCTCAAGTATTTTGACCGAGAAGCTGGAACTTAGGTGTCCTAACCGCTCCTACTAACATCACAAATTGGCAGCTTACGTCAGTTTCAAAAATCATCAATCAAAATACTTCATTTGTTTTTTTTTAAGGATCTCACTTCCGAACTATCAGTCTCGGTCTGAAGTCATCCATTCACTACTACCACGGCATACGAATTTGAGGGTGGCGCCGTCTCATCTCCAAAACAGCATAGTTCATGTGCGTGTGCGTGTAGTGCTGGTCGCAGAACCCTTCACCTATTGAAATGCTAAACGCATCAGTTAATGTTGCGCTAAGGCATGGCTGTCAGGCGCTGTCAATCAGTGGGCGGAGGGCATAATACGTGTTTGAATTTATTCCGCATGAAACCATATGAGTGACAGGAGGTCATCGCCTCAATCCTCGTAATGCCCTTCCTCATGAGAAGGTTGTCAGCGTAATTGCTAGGGTGAGTAGAGAATCTGAAGCAGACACCTTTTCTTGTCCTACCGGACAAGTGTTTGAATACGACACTGAATTTTATTAACTCTTCAGCAAAATACAGAGGCAAATTGTTTGAATCTTCTTGATTAATGAAACTGGCTTAAAGCCAATTTAAAGCGTAAAAACTTAGCAAAATGGACTTCCCACTGGTTATATTGGGTAAATGGCTTCATATCAGCAGTAGGTAATGTTAATCCCGGCCCTGCAACACTCAACACCTAAATGGTAGAAAAATAAATTTAGTAGATTTAAAACGCCCAGGTAAGGTCCAAACCAGATTTGTCAGTGGTAGGAATTTACAAAAATCCTTCCGTTATGTAACTTGAAGACAGTCAGGATGACAACAAGTTTCCATGCTTGTCGTTCGATCCTTTCTAATAGCTGCGATCTCTACAGGTCTTGGCAAATACTGCGGACGAGGTGGGCTCCATAACACTTGCAGGCGACTCACTTGCTGATATCCCTGATGGAAGTGATTTGGATGGATTGTCCTCGCCTATCTTTAAGTGATGGAAACAGCGGCAGTCGACACACTGTTGAAGAACAGAGGCGTCCGGCAAGGCGGCTTTCACAGTCAATCCCCGGCTGAATAAGCTCTTACTCCGATCACAATTATTCCTGTTTTATGTCTCATAGTTCACCAAACTGCATTTAGGACTTCTTTTGGAAGATACAAAGAGTTGCGTACCAATCTGTATGACCTTACTTTCGACTCATGCATTCATCCACTTTACCCGTATAATTCTTTTGTAGTGATTTTGTTTGACACAATTCTGTATGAGAGGTAACCGGACATCGATAAGGCGATTCGATGTAATTTTTAAAATAGCATTCAATTTGGCTACCGCATAATGCACATCGAAGTCTTATTAGCCTAAAATTCGTAAATGCTACCACGCATGTATGCATTTTTGATGGTATGCGGGTAAAAAGAGCTGCGAAAAGAGATTAAGGTCGTGGCGGAATTATGCCGGCGGATTAGCATGGAAATAATATGATGGATGGAAGCATGACTTAGCAAAGTGAGCATAAAATTAATTAAAAGTAGAGGGCAGTGTCGAACGAAGAAAGATGTTTGTTACTCGCCTACTCTGCATACCATAATGGGAGAAAGGAGACCTCTGAAGACCTTATTCATGTTTCCTTCAATTACACTTAATAATGTGGCCAACCTCTTCAAATTCATTAGGGTTGTATAAAGAGGACAACTAATTTCTTCATTTGGCTTCGCTTACTCATGTGTGATTACATTTTTAATCCCCTCCTCAAGATCACTAAATACGCCCTTCCAGAACGAACAGGGACAGCAGCCCTTCTTGATCCGCCACCTGGTCTGGCTCAAAATACAAACCTAAGAGATCGGGCTTAATATGGGTGCAAATGTACATGGAACAACGTTTGGCAGGGCAGGCGACAAAAGAGAAGGAAAACTACTGTCCGACCTCCGTAATGTGAACAGTGGAACAAGCGTAAAATGAC